TGTTTTGTATTTATAGAGTAGTGAGTAAGAAGTACATAAATATGGAAGGAAAACCAAGTCATGATGGCCTTTGAGACAAGAATAAAACACATTAAGAAGTTGTCAAAAATGAGTGATTCTTGCCCTTTTGGATATGCAATGAACATGGGCAGGTTGTGGTTGGGTTGCACGAAATATTGGGCCTCAAAGCTAACCAAACCAAGCCCATATGCATTAGCCCATGATTTCTTGTGATTTTATTCAATTTATTTGATTTTAAATTAAATAAAATCAAGATAAATATGAATAAAAATAAAGTAAATGTATAAATGGACTTAGAGTTCCTCTAAGATTCTATGGACATGTTTGAAGTCCAAAAAGTAGGCCCATTGGTTCAAAATTGCATTTTTGCTCAATTTGTACTTCATGAATTTCTTCAAAATTCCCCAACTTGTGCAAATCATAACTTGCTCAGTTTTTATCTTTTGAAGATGATATTAGATTTTTTGGAAATCCCAATATATCCTCTACAATCTCTATGTCGATCATTTTTGCTTTTGAAGACATTATCTTGATGTAAGTTGCCTTGAAAAAAAAGTGTCTTTTGTTGACTTTTGAAAATGACCTATAATGTATGAGCTCATATCTTCCAAATGAAGCATTTTTTGGACTTGAAATAAAAACAAAGTTGTATAAAATTGAATTTTCTTCAAAATGAGATTTGGTTGTGGAAAAGTTGATGAAGTATGTGAAAGTTATGCCTGGTCAAAGTTCAGTTGACTTCTCCTAAGGAAACCCTAATTTGGCAATTTTGGACTTTTGATGATTTGAGAGCTTTCCTTGGGGAATCATAATCAAACCTTGATCAAATGATTAATATCACTTCAAAATGTTTATATTGACCAAAAATCTTGAAGTTTGACTGTATGTTGACCATAGTTGACTTTTGACCAATACAATTGATTTTCAATCATCTGAGCCATTGACTGAGCAAACTTTTGGCGTAGGGCTTAAAACTTGACATAGACCTTGTTGAGGACCTATGAAGAACCGTGGAAGCCACTTTAGACCTTTTCAATCTAAATTTCCTTGAGAGACTCAAAACCCTAGTTGTGGGCCTTTGGCTTAGGAGGTGCATCTTGATTAATTAATCCTTGAGTGTCTTGGGTATTTGAGAAGCCTTGAAAGAATACCTTGAAGAAAAATGTGAGGGAATTTTTTTGGGTATAACACATTGCTTTTAATTTAATTTATGAACTATGTGGAATTCTGAAAGATCCTAATTACAACTCTTGTTGGAGAATTGAGAATGATTTGTTATTGATGTTTTTTCGTTGCGAATAAATACAATGAAGTTTAAGACCTTTTAATATGTGCGTTGTGTTGTGTATCTTATTGAATGAGCAAGTATGATTTATGAAGCATGTGGCATGCTATTTGATGTTGTATTTTAGAAATTAATTTACTCTGATTTTTATATTATTTACCGACGGGGAAATAAGGTGTTACGGAAACAAATGCTCCAAAACCAACATAATGAAATTCAAACAACTTTTGGCCGGAGCACAACAATCATAGAACAATGTTTTAAAGATAACACTCTTTACTCACAGTTGAATCTGAACATATCCCGAGTGGGATTGAATTTTATTTTTCATGAAGCGGAGCATTCCGAGACAACGGGGCCGGATAGTTCAATGTGTGGGTGTACAATTAGGAAAACATATGGGCTACCATGTGCTTGTCTCATTTCTAAGAAGATGAAGTTAAACTCCCCCATACATATGGACTAGGTCTATGATCATTAGAAAAGGCTTCGATTTCATGACTACGGTGCTATGAAAGATAGTACATCGAGTATTACCGTCGCAACCGAGTTGGAAGTGATCATGGATAGATTTTATAAAGCGGATGACACTATGATATTTCACATAAAAGAACAACTGAGGAAAATCGCCTATCCAGAAACCACAGATATGAAACCTCCTTCACAACCGGTAAAAACGAAAGGTGCATCAAAAAAGTATAAAAGTACACAAGAGGACAATTCAACAAAGCGGACGCCGTCTTACCATGAAGTTGTTGATTCACATTCTCCGGATTCTCCAACACTGAAATTGCAAAAAAGTGTTTTCAAAGGAGCTCGCATCACCAAACCACCTCGTACACCTCCGATAAAAAAACAACCAATTCTACCGCCGATTATTCACATTGATTAGATGCCGATTTTTATGCACAGTTACATTGAAAGGATTGTAGATGTGGAGGGGGGAGGGGACGGTGATTGCGGGTATCGGGACGTGTCCAGATTACTTGGTAAAGGTGAGGAGAGCCACACACTTGTATGACAAACACTTATTTTGAAATTGATGGTGCATAAGGAAGATTACTTACGACTTTACGAGGGGAAGGAACGTTTCAATAAAATTCATAATACTCTTGTTCCAACTCTTATCAGTTACGCAGCACCTGAGAAGTGGATGTCCTTCCCTGAAATGGGACATCTTATAGCAAGTGCATATGAGATGGTGTGTATCGATCTCACGAGATATGGTTTTTCGAAGACTTTTTTTCCTCTACAAAGTCGCCCACCTCAGGACCCATTCGACCGCTTCATCTGTATTTGGTATCTTAGATCACTCTATTTTGCTCAAGTGTTTTTGAAGCCGGTGTCCTATTCCGTCTATGTCAGTGCAATGGACGGCACATCATGCAAAAGAGGTGAAAACTTGGCCGGATAATTTTTTGGAAAGGATGTTCGAATTCACAAATTTGTCAAAACTTGGAAGAGAATCAAATAGGAAGAAATTAAAGAAAGAACCGATTTTAGATTTAAGCGGTAGCCATTCGTTTGGTACATTTTAGAATGTTATCGAACCATTTTTTGTATGTATTGTCGTGCACAATGTAATCGAATCATTTTGGAATGTATCTACACGATTCAATACATATATAATATATCTATTCACCATTTTACCGATTTATACAATTTACCGATTTATACTTTTTCCAATTAAATTATGAATTTATCTTTGAATGGTATTAATTCCAACTTCTTATTATGTCTCTGCATAATTCGGAAGTGCATTTCCAAATTATTTTTAAAAAACAATCAGGGAATGTTTCAGAACTACACTTCTGAAAACACCTTTCTTTTTTTAAAAGTATAAGGGGTTGTTTCGGAAGTGTATATCCGAAAAATTCCCTGACATAGGATAAGAATTCTTAGGACCACATTGCTCTAAAACTTCTATAAATAGGGTGTCATAAACCTATTCTTCAACATCATACACCACAAATCAGATATCACACACCACAAATTAGATATAACTCAAACATATTCTCACTTTGCTTTTGTCTACTCCAATGGTGCAATGCCGCCACTTCAGTTTAGGTTCTACGAGGATACGCCTTTTGCCGAGCTCATTACCATACTCAACTATCTCTTGCAATATCCAGAAAATCGGAGGGTAGTCAAGGTCGAATATCGTTCACCATCACTTGACACTGATGGAAAAGTCAAGTTCACCAAGTTTGAGCTGGAGACAGATGACGATTTATAAGTTATGTGGAGTCATTTTCGCCAATACTCTACTAAGGGTCAAATTGAGTTGGATGCAAAAATTCAGAGATCCGCTGAAGATGTTATCAAAATATTGCGACGTCCTCAGTTACCCGTTTATAACAATATGTAATGTTAAATTTATGTTTCAATATCTATGTAATTTCGACTTTCAATGTTTAATTTATGTTATTGTTTATGTAATATCCATGTAATATCAATGTTTCAATATCTATTTAATTTTGACTTTCAATATTTAATTTATGTTATTGTTTATGTAATATCCATGTAATATCAATGTTTCAGCTTATATGTTATATCTATGTTTCAAGATTTCTGTTTCTATGTTTCAATGTCAATGTTTCAATATTTCTGTTTTTTATATCAATCAGTAATTATTTTGGAAATGTACTTCTGAAATAGTTCATTAGGTATATTCGGAAATGCATCTTTGAATTCACCCAAAAGAAGATTTTCCGTAACTTCGAAAATACATTTCTGAAATCACTCTAAAAAAATGAAATATAATACGTTCGGAGATATATTTCCAAATTTTAAAAATTAAAAAAAAATTCGTCAAAAATAACTAAAAAGATATAAGAGTGTACAAAGAAATTCCCTTATTACAATGCAATGTTTATATACAATTTTTTATAGTCCAAATACAATGCTTGTAAGCACTTCATGGAAGGCCCAGATACCTAAGATTTCAATTTCCAAAGTTAGATATATCCTTCTTCAAGAAGAGGATTTGTAATAGCAAATTGGTATTTTAAAATAAAGAAAGAGATGATTGTATTCATTGTAAAAAAATCAAACGTAAGAGATTCTATATTTTACATATGGTGTAGGTTCAAAGTTCCACTGGATTTTCTTGAGAGAAGATAAGCTAATGTATATTCATTTAACAATCTCTACATTTAACTTTTATGTTTTTATTCTTTTTATTCTTTTTTGTGGTTATTAATTCAACCCTTAATTTTTTCCTGTAAAAATAAAACCTGAAAGTTATTAATATGAAAAATTACCAGAGTTAGTCCCATTTATCACATTTTTTATGAAATTTTTTTCCTAACACAAAGTTCCTTTTAAAACTTTTTAACTATTTGTTACAATTAAAAAAAAAAAAGAGAATATAAAAAAAAAATCTAAAATTGCTTCAAAAAAAGTTGTTTTTAGTAGTTTTTCTACAAAATCTTTTTATAACTATTTAAAAAATATATTTTCATCTTAGTAAATAAAAACAAATAATTTATATTTCTTTTTTTCAAAAATATCTATTAAAAAGTTTTGTGGATATTATTTTGACCAAAAAGCTCAATTATAAATATCAAGACGATTTTTTTTCCATATAATATACTACAAATAGACTCTATATATTCCTCCCATATTATACAACATCATCATAATCATTTCACAATCTATTAAACCTTGATCTCATACACAAAAATTTCAAACCATGATCAATGGTAAAGATGTATACAAGATTGTTGAGAGCATTTTCCCCTTATATGTAGCATTAATGTTAGGTTATGGTTCAATAAAATGGTGGAAAATTTTCACAGCAGATCAATGTGCAGGTGTAAACCGTTTTGTAGCAACATTTGCAGTTCCAACACTTACATTCATCTACATAATTCCAATAGATCCTTACCATATGAATTGGAGGATAATAATAGCCGACACACTTCAAAAAATAGTGACACTATTATGTTTAATCCTATGGAACATTTTCACAAAACGAGGTAGTTTCGATTGGACAATAACCGTTTTCTCACTTATTAATTTACCTAACACACTTGTTGTTGGGATTCCTCTCTTGCAAGCTATGTATGGCGATGTTTCGACGCCTATTTTGATTCAAATTGTGTTCATGCAAAGTGTTTTGTGGTATACGGTTTTGTTGATAATGTATGAGTATAGGGCGGCGAGGATATTCATTTCGCAACAGTTTGTTGTGAGGAATGAAGACGGGACGGAGTCGATTTTGTCGGAGTCGGAGAAGGTTGATATTGGATCGAATGTTGATGTGGAGTTGGGTGAATTTTTGCATAGTTTGAGTGTTAGGTCGGGTTCGAGGAAGAATAGTTTTGACGTGAATGAGTTGTTTAAAAAGAGTAAGAGTAGTAGTAGTGCTAATGTGGGTGTGGAATGGAAAAGTATAAAGAGTAGGAGTGCGAGGGTTTCTCCTCATCCGATTTTGAAATCTATTAGTGGTAATAAAAGAAACATGAGTTCTAATGGTCGTTTGACACATGAAATTGAACCATCAGAAGGTACTTTTATGATTCAAAACCAGAGTTATAATTTTCATATGAAATTAACTTTTGATTAATATATTTTGTTTTTCATGCAGTTGATAAGTTTGAATTGCTTGGGATTAAAGTAAGTGCAGAGAAAGAGCATGAGAGCAAGGAGGCGCAGATAGAGGAGATTAAAGAAGAAATTAGTGAAGAACAAATGCCACCTAGTCAATCTATGGTGTTAAAGCTCATTGTAATTAGGGTGTATAAGAAACTCATAAAAAACCCTAATCTCTGGGCTTCAGTTCTTGGTATTATATGGGCTCTCATTGCAGCTAGGTATTTTCCAACACTTTTAAAATTTATAAGAATTATCCAAAAAGTTTACAATTAATAATTTTAATACTTTATATAAATAAAATAAAAAAATTCAATTGAAACATTTTGAATTATCTATAGTTCTAAATTTTCTATAAAAAAAATTAATCATTTTTTTTTACAAGAAAAAATTAATCATTTTAAATGCACCATTACCCTTGAATCCTTGATACTAAAACTGTTTCTTTTGTACAACTTCAGGTATAAAATTAAATTGCCAACAATCATATATGATTCTATTACAATAATGTCTAAAACTGGACTAGGAATGTCCATGTTTAGTCTAGGTATGTATGGTCTTTTCCTTAGTAATTCATTGCAAGTCTAATACTAGGAATGTCAAAACATGATACTACTAAAACATTATGTTTATGTTTTTATGTCTTTATTTAATGATTAATGTTTAATGTTTCCTTAAATAGGCATATTCATGGCTTTACAACCCAAGATCATTGCTTGTGGAAAAACAGCAGCAGCAATGTCTATGATACTTAAATTCTTGATTGGTCCTGCATTGTTTGGTGCAACTTCTGCAGCGGTCGGTGATCGTGGAGTTGTTTTTAAAATAGGAATTGTTCAGGTAAAGTTGTAATTAATCATCTGATCTTGATTGAACGATTACTTAGTCATTGTAATATGTATGAAATCTCAGTCCAAAATAAACTCATGAAATTTCTCATAAATGAACTCAATTCATGTAGTCTTATAATATGATATGGCTCCATGTTTAATTTTTCAGGCGGCTCTTCCTCAAGGTATTGTTCCCTTTGTCTTCGCTAAAGAGTACAATCTCCATGCTCAAATATTTAATACAGCGTAAGTGTGTACGCGCGTGTGTGGATGTGTAATTTAAATTTCTTTTATATAGTTATTTACTTGTTATAATTAATGTGACATTAACATAATTTTAATTGTGATAAATTTGCAGGGTTATATTTGGATTGGCACTTGTGTTCCCCATAGGAATGCTCTACTACGTGCTTCTTGGGTTTAGTTCATTTTAACAATGAGGATAAAAAAGAAGGACTTAAGTGCCTTTTTACCTGTTTGAGAAAAAACAAGTTTGCTACTTTTGAGTATGTGAATCCACAAGCTATTATTATGCTCTCAAACTCAAGCAAAGATGGATGAAAGACAATGTGTGATTTGAAAGGATTTTAGAGTATTTTTTATTACGAGGGAGAGGGACAAAAATGTAAGGGCACTTTGTTTCACTAAAATGTACTAGTACTAGTTTGTTAGGTTAAGGTTGTGGTTAAAAAATATAGTATTAAATATATTTTTATTTTTATAAAATTTGTGTATTGTGATTTAGATGATTGATAAAATTTATAGATCATCTTTGGTCAAATTAAATCAGTTCAAACCACGACATTCTACTTTGTTTACATTTCAAAAATGAATTCTCTTATTGACAAAAAAATAATTATAAATCATATATTTATTTATCAAAATAATTGAAATTTTCTGTTATATAATTTGGGATTGTTGAGAATGTAATTCTTTTGTCTCAAAATAGTATGTTGTTCGATAGAAAAATGTATTAAATTAGTCTGTAAGTGTGTCGAGTTGTGTGTGTCGAAGTGTCGAAAGGAAATAATCTCGACATAGGATTTCGACTTAGATCTAAAATAGATATTTTAGACTTTTGTGTTTTGAATTTTGTCTTAGAGAGAAAACTAATTTAAAATTATAAATAGAAAGAATAACCTTTATTTTTGTAAACAACTTAAATTGACATAATTTTACAGTTACAAAGTGAATACAGATTTTCATAGTTTATAGATAGAAAGTTATTCGATAGAAAATAATTTTTTTTATATTTTATTTTCGTAAATTTTAATTTTCTTTCTTCTTCAATTTTTTCATTATTATTGTGTATCAATAATAATCTTATTTATCAAAATAAATAAAAAAAACCCTATAAATTTGGATGGATTTCTAACGGGATGAATTCAAATTATCTTAACGGATCAACATTTGGTTATTATACTTCAGCGAGAAGTGTTACAATAATTCATTTAATTATAACAATTTGAGTATATAGTTTTTATTTGTGGGTAGCCAAAACACATAAATTCATTTCCATGTTTTTTTCCCACAACATTCTAAAATACCAATCTTTGTGATTAACTTTTTTTTCTTCATTTTGAGAGTATTATAAAAGTATTGAAGGAATTTGTTTAAAAACTATTTTTAAGGCAAGTAATAATCTATAACTATATATAAAAGCAAAATACAATTTTTTATATAGTCTGTTTTTGTTCTAATTATATCTTTTTTAGTTTTTGTTTTTAACTTCAACTTTTCTTTATTATCTGTTATATGATAGTTTATATATTTTTTTATTTCCATTTTTTAAATTATTTTATAAATAACTAACATTAAATTAAAAATTAATATATAAAAAATATCATTTATATTTTCACCCATTTGCACATTAAAAAAACGACAAACGGACACTGCTAGTTAATAATAAAGTAAAAATCCTCAAGTAGTACAACATGTGTTAAACATATCACCTCAACGAAATACAACAAACATGCAAGTTAAAAGAGAAAACAAATAAAACAGCAAAACAACTAAAGATTCAGAAGGATGACACATAAAAACACTCGAATATCTAGAAACTTCACTCATAAAACTCAAGCTACATCATATACTGGATCATTATCAACAAATTAAAAGACATCTAAAGAGAGTCAAAAACCACAAATCAGTATCAACCTCAAAATTCAGACAAATTCTCTATCTATTTTTTTCGAATTTTTGTAAGCGCAAACATAAGCATAAATATTTTTAATTTTTAAACTTAAAATGTGCAATATCAGTTGGCTTACCTTACCAAAATTTTAGGCTCACGCTTTATACAATATCTGTCCAAATTTTTTAGAATTTTGCATATCAGACTTAAAGAGGACAGAAATACATTGAAAGATTAAATTCTATCCCGAGAGCAATAATTCGAGAAATTAACATCTCATCCTCCGGATTATACATGTCACCCCTTCAAAGGTTATGAAAAGATAAAATTATCCAAACCCAAAAAATTCTCAAAAATTTCAAATCTGTGGTACCACATCGAAAATTTGAAATTCCCATAGCGATATCGGAAATTTGCTAAACAAGTAAGAAATTTACGGTAGATTTATAAAATTTCTGGTAAATTATACCGGATTTTTCAAAATATCCGGTATATTTGAACAGAAAATTTTACAATTTTCAGTTAATACGTTTATCTTCTGTATCGGAAATTTTAAAAATTTTGTAGCTTAACAACATGTCTCGGAATTTTTGAAATTTCTGATAGTTCATTTTTTATTTATAAATTTCGAAAATTTAGAATTTCCGATAATACATATTTTTCTAATTTTTGTCAATGTTTCAGTGAGGACTAGAGGCAAAGATGGTTCTGTTGCAGGTAGGGTGGTAGATAGAGCAGAAGCTCAGGCCCGGACTGACGAGGCACAGACTTCCGAGTTACGGGCTGGACGACGTCGTCCGACCGGTTCTCACCAGAAACGAATGGTTGAGCAGCATGCGCAGTTTCGCGCATCCCGCTGTCGAGGACTTAGAGTTTCTACCGCTGAGGAGGTACATACTCCTGCTCCTGCTCTTGTGCCTGTGATTGAGCCGACTGTTAAGCAGCATATTGAGGAGGTTGTGCCTGTTGTGGAGGGCGCAGCTAAGCCGGCAATCGAGCAGGTTGTGGAGCCGGCAACTAAGGAGATTGTAGAGCGGGTTGAGGAGGTTGTGGTGCCATCTGGAAGCTTGAATTCAATAACAGGGTTGTTTTCGTTGAAATATACTTCTGTCTTAATCAAAAATTGAGGAAGAGATATTGTTTAAGATGTTTTTCTTTGTAGCATTTTCTCCTATTTATACAAATGGTGATGCATTCTAGACCACACAAATTTGTCGGTGCAATCTAAACCCTCCAAAGATGTAGGCAAAATCTCAACCGTTAAAAAAATGAATAATTAAACTTTCAGAAATTTCAGTATAACTAAAATTTCTAGTACTGTCTAGTAAATTTGAAATTTCTGAAATACCAAAAATTTCAAATACACTACCGAAAATTTACATACACCAAAAATTTTATATGAGTGTACCAAAAATTTCGTGTGTATCAGAAGTTTAATAACTCTACCAGAAATTTCGTCTGAAAATGTCTTTGTAACTCAATAGGGGTAATTCTGGAATATAAAAAATTGGGTGAGTGGTATGTATAATTTGGCGGGTGGGATGTTAATTCCTCTAATAAATCACATGTGACAGATAATAGTTAGGTGACAGACAGGGGTGGCAAAATGAGTCGCCCGTCCCGCCCCATCCTGCCTTAAGCCCTCTAAAAAAAAAGCGGGGCGAGCAAGCCCTCCAAGTTAAAATGGGCATAAAAATCTAGCTCGCTCCGCCAAGGTGGCGGGCTGGCAGGCAGCGGACTTGCCCACTTACTTTTTTTATTTATTTTTCATTTTTTAATATATTAAAAGACTTTTTATTACATTTCAATTAGATTTTTCACTTATTTTTCAGAATAATTTTTTATAAAACATCTTTTTAACAAAACTTACTTAAAAAAATATTGCATATATTCACAAATAAATGTATAAAATAAAACCATCAAGACTAAACGAACAGGCGCGTTGGGCTTTGACGAACGGCGGGTTTTGGTGGGCAGTAGGGATGTCAATGGAGTGGAGGATTGTTGGCTGAAGATTTTGATGATACAGTTCGAAATGAAGCAATATGGATGTTACGTTGGAATAAAACAAAATGTTACAGTTCGGAATGGTAGAAGCGGTTCTTCGAACGGACATGTCAAAGCTCGGAGCTTCGAGTGACAGTTGTGAAGATATATTTAAAAGAAGCCTCGAAGTGGTAACGAGACTGTGTCTGTGAAATGAGTTCGAAGCAAAGATTGCCAAGGCATTTGAAATTCAAACGCGAGCGGGATGTTGGAATTCAAATATATATGCGCTGGAGCGTTCGAAGACGCGTGGAAGCTAGAGAGGAGCAGTGCTCTGCATGTTCCGAACGTGGCAGAATCTTATAAGCAAGACCGTTATGGTCGAAGTAGTATAAATAGAAGTCTTAGCGTTAGGATTTCGTGTGTCATATCTATTGTACAAAATTCAGTAAACATTCAAAATACCACATGGATAGGGAAACGAATGCTCGAACAATGTACGTATGATAACACCAAACATTTACAATTCAGTAAAACTCTTTATCTTTTCCAGTTTATCTTCCATTTTCATGTCAATGTCATTCAAATACCTTTACATTCAAAGTCATTTACTTATTTCTTGCATTTAAACGATTTTCTTCTATTCGAATCCTTTACATTTCAGAAACTCTTTTACATTTCATGCCTTTATATTCATGCTTTTTACATTAAAGTCTTTACATTCAAAGTCATTTACTTATTTCTGCATTTAAACATTTCTTTGCAATCGAATCTTTGTTCATTCAATTCAGTTTCGTATTTCTTTACTTGATCATGTCATTAGATTCTTTTAGCATGGTAATCGAAGTGAATTGAACGTCTATAAAACATTCTAAATACAAATCCTAACTATGAATATCAGTCTTGCAATTAGATTTATCCAAACGACCAATACCCCATAGGATCAATCTAGTCGATCCTGCAAGTTACCAGAGAGATTAAATAACAGTCATTAAGATTATTTGATAGTTTGGAGGACTAGCGGTTGTTTACCAGAAATCACTGTAAACAAATTGGCACGCCCGGTGGGACAGTCATTGGTCGTTACGAAATTTAAAACAAAGTAAAGATTGTTAGGATATAATCATTGTAAAAGTTCTTTCTGAGTGATAAGTTCGTTGTTATATGAACCTTAGAAGTGGTAGAATAACCAATAGCAACCAACCCTTACCCAGAAGAAAACGTAATAACAAGATGTCTAATCCAAACAATCAACAAGGGGAATAAAATGCCCCACATGGAACAGACACTAATATGTCTGCTTCGACGGGAACG